GTGTGTGTGTGTGTGTGTGTGTGTGTGTGTGTGTGTGTGTGTGTGTGGAGCTGCCTGTTTCCAGACACGCATCCGTCCCAAACAGAATTTGGGGGGAGAACGGAATTTCAATTATCAGCATCCATGCTCATCTCCATCATCATCAGAAACGTCAGCAAACCAGCATCGTCTCCTCTCTCCGTGTTTTTCTTTGTTTCCATGTATTGAGTCATTTCTTTGTCCCGCCTCAGCAGCAGAAGTGTTCTTATGCAACCGTACTGTGGCCATTCACACTTCCACTTATCTCCCATCCTCGACCAACACATGCATACACGGGCTGCATCTCTATGCTACTCCAAACCACACACTTTAAAGCTTAATCACAGGATTTACTGTCATGCCTCTCTCCTCTCGCAAATCCTGCAACCCCCCCCCACACACACACACACCCACACACACCCATGACTGGCAGTGTTCAAAGCATACAGGAAGTTGAGTCACATACATATTCTCTCACACACACACACACACACGCACACGGCCTAAATGATGCACAACTCCTTTTGCATTTCATGATGGTTCTCCCTCTAGTCATGAGACCCACGACCAACAGCACATCAGGCATGGAGGGAGAGACATGGAGAAACACAGGTCCAGATGGAGGATTAACCATGACATTTGCCACAGAAATCGGGCTTCATGCGTCACTATTAGTGTGTGTAGTCTATATGTTGACGTGCGTCTCTGTCTCGGCTGTAGTCAGGAAGGGGTGGCAGGAGAGGGCTTGTCGTCCGTCCGCAGATTGGTGCGCAACGCCATTACAGACCACCCTACTCTGCTCGGTTCATTCATAAATACCAGAAGATCGCCATCTCGCAACGGTGCCATCATTTCGCAGTCCCAGCGAATCCCCCTCCCCCCTCCTCTTCCTCCCTTTACTCATCAAAGCAATATCATAATCCCAACACCCTGACATCTCCCCCCCCCCCCCCCCTCTCTCCCCTGCTGACTGCCAATATGGCTGTGCGGGAATAGGCTGCATACCATTCACACGACCGAGGTTATCAAACACACATATGTGGGTCGTGAGTGCAGCCGGTGTGGATGCATTTAAGACAACAACAACAACAACAACAACAACAACAACCGGATGAATAATGAAAATGATCGGCCGTGAACAGCAGGGATCGTGTGCGCTCCACAGACAGCAGGACCGCGGTTTACGCCACTGAATACCAACATCTCTAAGCTCCGTGTGAGGATGAGCAGCATCTCCATACCTGGTCGTGAAGTGTAGCTCCGCTTCAGGCTCGTCCTTGGTATAGACGGATACAAGACAAACGCCGAAAGCGTCTTAAAGCATTTTACACGGTTCATGTAGCGCTCATGTCGTCCGATTTCTAACACCACCACAGCAGAGTCTCTCTCTCTCTCTCTCTCT